CACATTTTCAGTGACTATTGATTCTTACAAACTACACTATATGATACACAAACCGACCTCTAGGCAATGGAGTGACTCTGAGTGGAAGTCTAGAGATGCCATTACCTATATTGTAGCCAACTTCAAGATGCTGAACAAAATCTTAAAACTGATTACTTATCTGCAAAAGAAAGTAAAGTGGGGTGATTCTCATAGACTCAGTGATCATCGACCCCATGAGTAGGGTGTAGATGGGAAACAAGCTAAAGGTAGAAGATTTGAAGATTTAAAAACAGAAGAATATATACACAAGCAATTTAGTCAAAAGGAAGATTTGTGCCTCATATGCAAATAAGTAAGTTTAAAATAATTAATCATTCAACAACGAGTTAAAGTAATGAATTGTCATCATGCATGCTCTCGTAAAATCCAATATGTTACAAAGCTTCTGTGCAATTTCATAGTGCATTTCATGCATAAAGAATTAGATCAATGTCGTCACATAAGTAAGGAGAGCAGTAGAAAAACTATTATTCTTCATCATGTAAAAATTTCTTGCGTGAAAACCAAAACAAATGTCACTCTCGAGTAGGTACAAAAATGATAACACATGGACCCACTCCCACGTCATAACAGCCGGATCCCCACATGCCATGGCTATCTCAACGATGTTGGCCGACATTGGAGAAAATGAAGCAGTCGCAACCGCATATACTTACTTGTGGCCTAGCCACGTAAATCACAGACCTTGGCCCCAACAATGTCTAACAGCCCGTCAATGACCCAAAGGTTCTCTAGCTAGAGCTCACTTGTACACAAGGGTCACAATTAACCGGAGTGACAATCGGCCTACTCTCGAATCTCCCAATTTAATAAACCATTTAAAAAAAATCAAATCAAGTTTTCAAAAGATCGGTTCAAACCATTTTCAAAATACCGATCATGGTAACAATCAAAAACCTCTTTTTGTATCACCTTGACATGTAAACCTTTTTGCATAGGGTAAATACCTAATCCACATGGTGAATAAGAATTTATCCATGAATGCACTTCATACAATCCACAAGGCACGTTTT